AATTTTGTGCTCTGCTGCTCTATCACTTGCCAGTAGCAGCTGATGGAGGCCCCCTCCCCTGCGTCTATCTTCCCGAATATCACCTTGGATTCACTTCTCCGCACATCCTACCTTCCAGAAAGTGGTCACTGTTCTGTTCAGAGAGTTGCTGCTATTCTTATCTTCAATCTCCTGTTGAGTTTGTAGATGTTCAGAATGGTTGGATCCCTATCTAGCTGAATTCCTCAGACCAGAAAAAATTTAGGTCTCCTACTCCTCCGCCATCTTGCTCCTCCAAGCAGATTCATCTATTTTAATTCTCTGTATTATCTTATGATCATCTCAACAGGTTGGTATTCTTTAGGCAGCTAATCGCTATAGTCCATTGAAGTTTGTTTATTCAGATCCTCATTATGCGTTCTTCTTTGGAATGGAAGTTAGATGGAAGACAGTTTTACATAACCTAATGTTGGAAGTCCTATTTCATTACTTTTGCCATAATCTATTCTCCAGAAGCAGATTACTAGCTTTGGCCCACAGTTGAAGAGAAAGGATTGCACTATACATACCAGGAGGTGAGAATCATTGTGAACCATTTTAGATTTTACCTAGTACAAGCTTCATCATATGTTTCAGATTTTTTATTTTAAGAAATAAAATATCACAAAGTTGAGGTCATCTACCTTCCCTATCCTGGTGCCATTTATTTGCTCTCATTCTCCCTTTGTCCTGACAGATAAGCATTATAGTCAACTTGATACCTCACATTCATGGTTTTAAAATTGTACCACATATCCATATCCATAAATAGTATATATTATTTTGATTTTTAATCTTTTTACATATATGATAAATTATATGTAGTATTCTATAACTTTCTTGTTCACTAAACATTATCTTTTGAGGTATATCCATTTTGTTTCTTAAATATATAGTTTATTCACTTTAACCATTTTAATTTTTCAAAACATGAAAAATTGCAATTTGTCCATTTCCCTTCTGATGAATATCTGAGTTATCTCCAATTTTTTGCTATTAAACATATAATGCAATGAACATACTTTTATAGTTCCTTGTTTTCCAGGTTTTATATACAAGAGTAAAATTGCTTTCCCAAGTTTCTCTGCAAACTAGATTTTTAAACTTTTCAGAAAAATCTTAACTTTATCTTGGGGTACTCTGAGCAGGAGTGGATGGTTTTCTATTCAGGTTTTGTTAGTTTTCTCATTTTTCACAAAAGCATGTCAACCCTGACTTTATTCTCTATTAAGGCTAAAGGGAATTACCTGACAAAAGCCATATGTCAGGGTATTGAGAGAACACACTCAAAGTCACATCTACCCAAGATCTATCAAATTCTGGGATGAGAAAACAATAGCTATGGAGGATTACTTGGGAAATACTCAAACTCTCCATTCTTCCTGATACTCTAAATATGGATTAAGCTAGAGCAGTGAAAGACTTAGATTATATTGAAACAATCCCCAGCCTGTAGACTTGCTATTCAAAGCATGTTTCAGCAACCATCAGCATCAACATCACCTGGGAGCTTTTTATAAATGCAGATTATCTGGCCTTACTCCTGGTCTATTGAAAGGGTATCTATTTTAACAAGGTTGCCAAGTGATTGTAAGCACATTAAAGTCTAAGAAGCACAGTTTTAGATAATTACTTCTCATTTTGTGGTTGATGATTAGGTTTCATCTACCTTTATTAAAGCTGATAAAACTCATTGTTATGTACACAATAAGAATAATGTTCAGGTCACGGTCATTACACCAAATAACAAACTCTTAATGAGGAACCTCCCAAAAAATTTATCTGATCTTAGTTTCAGAAATAGCGATGCTTCTACTGAATACCTATTTCACTTTAATCTTTGAAACACTGGAAAATATCTAAATGACCAGAGTTTATTTTTCCTTGACTGTTAATTACCCAAAATGGGGACTAGCTTACAGCCAGTATGTTGGCACTTACAGTAGACAAATTGAATTAGTCTTAAGCCGGGCTCCATTTTATGTTACAATTTTTGTTGTTTTCATCATTTTCATGTGTATGAATTAATATTTTCTAGTTGTATTTTATTTATCATTGTGAGCTATGTTAATTTATACTTGGAACAAAAGAACAAAGGAGTAGAACACTAGTTGGTACCAAATTTACCAAATATAAGAGTATCCTGTAGTTCTGACCACTCAACACATTCTATTTTGTTGCAGTTCCATAAAATAATTATGCCTAAAGAACACAAATCCCAACACATCTCTGTGTAATGACTGTGACACTGAAGTTAGTATAATAGGAATTTTTTAAAAAGACTTTGTTTATTTATTTACTTACTTATTTTTTTAGTAATCTCTACACCCAATGTGGGGCTAGAACTCAAGACCCCAAGATCAAGAGTCACATGCTCTTCTGACTGAGGCAGCCAGGCTCCCCAAAACTTTATTTTTTTAAGAGCAATTTTAGATTTACAACACAACTTAGAGGAAGGTAGAGATTTCTCATAAACACCTCACTCCCACACATGCATATCTTCCCCTATTAGCAACATCATTTGCCAGAATGGTATTTTTTTTTAACTAAAGATAAACATAATTTGACACATTGTGATCACTCAAAACCCCATTTACATTAGTGTCCACTCTTGGTTTTGTACATTTTGTGGGTTTAAACAAATTTTTAATGACTTATATCCATCATTTTGATATTCCAAGTATTTTAATGATCCTAAAATTCCTCTGTGCTCTGCTTATTCATCTCTTTCTCAACGCCCATCATTGACACTAATCTTTTTACTGTCTCCATCATTTTTTCCCCCAGAATATTAAATAGTTGGAATCATACAATATGTGTCTTTTCAGATTGGCTTCTTTCACTTGGTAATATACATTTAAGGTTCCTTCATGTCTTTTCATAGCTTAATCACTCATTTCTTTTTAGTGCTGAATAATATTCCATTGTCTAGATGTATCAGTTTACTTATCCATTCACCTCCTGAAGGACATCTTAATTGTATCCAAGATTTGGCAATTATGAATAATGCTGGTATAAACATCCATGTGTAGGTTTTTATGTAGACATAAATTTTCAATTCCCTTAGATAAATACCAAGAAGTGCAATTGTTGGATCATATTGGTAAGAGTATGTTTAGTTTTGTAAGAAACCACCAAACTGTATTTCAAAGTGGCTGTAAAATTTTGTATTCCTACCAGCAATCGATGAGTGTTCTCCAGCATTTGGTATTTTTAGTGTTCTGGATTTTGGCCATTCTAAAAGGTATGTATTGGTATCTCATTTTAATTTTCATTTCTTGATGACAAGTGATGTTGTCCATTTTTTCATATGATTATTTGACATCTGTGTATCTTTAGTGAGGTGTCAAGGTCTTTGGCTCATTTTTTAAAATTAGGTTGTTTATTGTTTTATGTTGAGTTTTAAGAGTTTTTTTGTAAATTTTGGATAATAGTCCTTTATCAGATGTGTCTTTTGCAAATATTTTCCCCCAGTCTGTGGCTTGTCTTCTAATTCTCTTGATATTGCTTTTCACAGAATGCATTATGGGAATTTTAAAATTATACTATTAAAAAAATAAAACATTTTTAAGAAGCTAATATTATGCTTAAATAAAATTTAAATGCCAACTCTTTGAGATGATGTTCACATGGCAACAACTGGCATAATCATGAGGCATGAGTTTGCCTGTGCTTGGCACAGCAAACTAGTATGACATTTCTAGGATATTTCCAAATAGTTTAGTTCTTGCAACTTGAATGTTTAGTCCTTCATCAATCATGATTGAAATGTAGCCCAGTGTATTGGACTTAAAATCAGTAGATATATGAATAAAAATTGCCTGCTTATTAGCAGTGTGACCTTGTTAAAGATGCTTATCTGCTTCTGAGTTTCTATTTACATAGAAGACAGTAAGAATATCCACTTCACATATTTGTTGAGAGAATTACTGAGATAAGCTATACAAAAGAGCCTGGAAAAGCCTAGTAATAATCAGTTGTTAGTGCTTTTCTCTGACAGTTAACTAACCTTGTATTATTTTGTTGATATATTCAAAAACAACAGAATTAGAGAACATTTAGAAAATGTTGTTCAAACCTTAATGTTAATAGCTATTCAGTAGTCCTTAATTTAACTGATGTCTTAGTGTTGGAAATTTGCATTATTTATTTTCCATTCAAAATAATGCTAAATGCACACTTTCTTAAGGACCTGGCAACCATTCCTTTGAAATGCAATTATCACGATAAAAAGGCTCCCTCTCTCCCCGTCTCTATAGGAGGATAAGAGACTAACTTTAATAAGCACCAGTTAATAAACACACATGGCTAAAGGAAAGCAGAATATGCCAACTGAAAGTATGCCACTTTGGTATATTGATTATTTTGAAATGAAGTTACTTAAGAAACAACTGATGCAAGAAGGATACTCCAACCCTCCTTCTTCCCCCTGAAGGCAGGAAACCAATCTCCCATGTAAAAGCACTGTCTCTGTACCAGGAGAGTAGAAGGCATTCTTACCACCAGAAATAGTGAATTTAGGGCCAAGAAGACTGTATAAACAAACCTTGTTACTTCTTCATTAATTACTACCTCAAGCCCAAACCCATTTATCTTGCGGATTCTTCACAAATCCATTGCTTCCTTGCCTAAAAGATATAAAAGCTTCCTGCTTTGGCCACTTCCTATGTATGAAATTAAATTTGTTTTTCTCCTGTTAATCTGTGTTATGCCAATTTAATTATTAGACCAGCCAAAGAATCTAGAAGGAAAGAAAGAAAAAACTTTTCCACCCTTACATGCCCTAATCACATTGACCAACCTCTCCTTCAATGTCCTCTACTTTTCCAGATCTTAAAAACTCTGCCACTTTCTGTTTTAAGGGAGTTGACTTTAACCTCCATCCCCTGTTGCAATAGCCTTGACCCCAATCACAATAGTCTTGAAAAAAGTGGTTGTTGCATGTTTAACTTCAACAGATGCAGTTTTCCTTTGACACTTACCATCTTGTTTGAAGGCATCTGAGGAATGATAAAGATTGATGGGGGAATAATAATGTTGAGTTGCTCCTCGCCAACTTGGTGAAGAAACACTCAGGGTTCCTAATAAAGGATTACTGTATCGCGGTCTGATCTTTGAACCAAAGAGGGATGAAGATGAACTCTTTTTAATTCTTAGCAAAGCAGCATATGAAGTAGGGAAATTAGGAAGAGCTCCAGAATATTCTGTAAAAAAAAAAACAAAACAATAATAAAAAGTGAATTCTGGTGAGACTTTTATTTTTTCCTGTGAAAATTATTTTTTCTGAAGACATTGTTAACAACCAAATGAAAACTACAAAGATAGTGGCAAAATAAAATAATATAAAATAAAACATTACTTTTATATTTTAAAAATATTTTCTGGAAATTCTGCTAGTTTCAATGTTGGGTCTGCAAGAGAGAGAGAAAGAAAAAAGTCATGAAGGAAGAAAGGAAAGAGAAGAAAAAGAAAGGAAAGGAACAGAAAGGAGGAACGAAGAAGAAAAAAAGGGAAAAATGTAAGAAGGACATCCAAAAATTCAAGTCTTACTTCCTTTGCCAGGAATATTTGGGAATTAACTTTTTTTGTTTATCTTCTTATTAAAATATCCATTCACATACATTAGATCAGTTCCTTATTTATTATTAAAAAATGGGAAAAAAAGGAAAAAATACCCACATTCTCAGTTACATCCTTTAATTATAGATTGAATCTTCAAGAGTAAAATTTATCACTTAGTAGGAAATGCATCTAATTGCAGTATGTATTTTGACTAGACTGTAAGTTATGCCCATATTCTTGACAAGCAGTCAAATTCACAATGGAAAATAAACAATTTTGGACAAAATTTGTTATGTAGATTTTGTTATATAATTTATATGACTTAATATTAAGTGGAGACACTGTTATGAAATTCCTACATTAAATGATTATTGAGAAATGTCCTGACTGTATTTTGTTTTAATTCTCAAGGTTTTCATTAGAAAAGATATATATAGTACCTGAAGGAGAATATGTTAACTCTTTTATGTTCCCAGGAGAGAGAGTCAGGTTAGTGTGTAGATCAAATGTTTAAAAATACAACCTAATTATTATGAAATCTAAAGAACAATTAGGAATTGGAGGTTTATTCTATGTCAAATCTCAAATGAATTTGACAATTTCTTGATGTTGGAAATATTTTTAAAAATAACACATTTTTGTTGAGGGGATCTGACATTTGAATTTAATGGATGTTAAGTTAATTTGAAAAAAAATAATTTATCTTTGTGAGTAAGCTTCCTCATAATGAAAATTATTTAGAATTATTGTACAGTCTCAGAGATATTTTTGAATGCAAGAATTATTTCTGTGATTTGAAAATAACACTTAAGTAGGTGTTAAACTTTGAATTAAGGATAACATTTTCTGTTTTGTGAAACTGCAAATATGATTTCTCTGAAACTAGAAAAAAGTATGTTTTTAGATGTTCAATTTAGATGTTCTGCACATTTAAATTGAGTATGATATGTGTAATCCAAGCCTATCAGGAGCTTTTAAGAGATTCATGTCCTTTAGTCCTTGTGTTCAACTACAAGTATGGTGAAGGTGGATCAATTTTAACTGAAAATAGCTAACCTCTCCTGGGCAAACTATATGAGAATAGATTATGGATAGACATAAAATCTCCTTTAAAACCTGGAATTAAATGCAAGTTTTGACACCTAGAGGTGTAAGGAATTGAAAAGAGAATGAGTTTTCCTTCAAGTTAGTTTGTAGTTGTGGTCTCGGAACCTATTCATTTCTTTTTTTTTTTTTTTAAGATTTTATTTATTTGACAGAGAGAGACAGAGCGAGAGAGGGAACACAAGCAGGGGAGAAGCAGGCTCCCCACTGAGCAGGGAGCCCGATGCGGGGCTCGATCCCAGGACCCTGGGATCATGACCTGAGCTGAAGGCAGATGCTTAATGACTGAGCCACCCAGGCGCCCCTGAACCTATTCATTTCTTAGTGTAGTTTGTTTCTTTGTGTTTCAGTTGCCTACACTGCTCATATATAAAAAGAAAAAAAAAAAAGAACTGTACCATGCTAGTGTTAAAAATTAAAATGGAGCATGAGAATGTGGTTTATAGTTTTTAAAGCTAGAGAAGGATAATCAGTGGAAAAATACAAAGGCCTTCATAAGGATCATCATTGAGGTTGTGAATCATATATGTATATATGATTATTATATATATTATTTGCTAATATATATTAACAAAATACATATTATCTAAGTGCTACAGTAATTGGCTTATAGTAATCTGTATAAATAGAGATGAGCCAAATGATAATTTGGCTGTGTGCTCCACACCAGGGCCTCATTTGTTATATAATAAGTTGCATCTGTTGCAGTGGAGAGTCCTTTTCATCAATTAAAGTGAACCCAAAGCTGTTACTAGAAATCTGACAATTTATTCATTCATTCATGTATTCAGCAAACATGTAATGAGACTCAGTAGGGGCTAAATGCTAGGGATACAAAGGTGAACAAGATATTGCATCAGGCATCAAGGAGCTTGTGATATAGTGACAAGGAAAGGCAATTATAGGAGAACTTTAACTCAATGGGATATAAAAGTAAATTCAAGGAGTTAGGGGCTCCCTCTGATGGGTGGGAATTTTTCTCATCTAGTCTAGGGCCATCATAAAATGCTTTCCAGTTGAATTATATCTAATCTGAGTCCTGAAACACCATTAGTGATTAGTTCAGCAAAGTTCTGGGTGGGGAAGGAAAGATATCCTAGAAAGGGAAGAAAATATATGAATACCTGGAAAGGAAAGGCAGCAGTGTGTGCTTGGTAAGTTAAAATAATCAGGAGCTCAGAGTGTGAGAGAGAGAGGTGAGAGGAGAAGTAAGTCTGGATAGGTAAGCTGGGAATAATGATGAAATGCCTACTATGCCATGCTAAAATGGTAGGACCCTGAAAGGAAAGCAGTATAAATTTTAGAAAGATCTCCCTGGCTGCAATGTCATTTGGAACAAGAAAAAAGAAAAAGAAAAAATACATATGAAGAGCTTAAAGCTGTAATAAAGGCAAAGATTAGTCAGGAATGAAGAGGTGATATAAGGTAGATGGGAATAAAATCATTAAGATTACTGATCGATTTAAATGGAGGCAAGGAAGGGAAAATAAGAATTTGGGGATACTCTGTGCTACTAGAAGATGGATAAAGATGGAGGAAAAGGCATGTGCTTGAGCTGAAAGCTCATGAATTCAGTTTAGGGGAAGTAGAGGGCTTGAGTTTTGATTAGAAAATTTTGTAAACATAAGGGAGTTACAGGCTAATGAGAGATTATTAAATGGTAACCAAATAGATGGTTATTAAACTATGAGAATAGATGAGCTTGCCAAAGAAATGCATAAAATGAGGAATAGAGTGTTGAAAATGGAACCCTGAGAAGCACCAGCATTTAAGAGAATAGCAGAGGTAGTGGAGCCTGTAAAGGAAAGAGGAAAAGCAGGAAAGTGTGAAGTTACTAAAAAGAAGGGAAGAGTCCTTCAATGTTGATGACGGAGCAGTTGACAGTGTTGAAGATCAGTATGGAAAGGCTGGCCCTGAAGAGAAGGGGTTCCCACAGCAATAAAGCTGCCTTACTGTTCCACATAAAATGCACAGTGAATGTGAAAGTAAAAGGAGGTGAAGAGGACTTTCCAAGCTCTGGAAGAAAGTCTGGAACCCCCACAATGCCAATTCCATTGCATTAGACATATAGACCCTGGCCTTAGCCTGTGGCATCTAATAGTCTCCTGGTCTGTGCGTAGGTAACTATCAATTCAGTGAGGTGTCCCTCTTTTGGGGGCATTTCCAACTCTTCTACCTGGTGCCCTCCTAGCTATCCAGCTTCCTTTTCTGACATCTTTAATTTCTCCACTCTTTACTCCCAGTTCTGGGGACCCTCAGTTCTGGAAAATAGATACATTACTATAAATAAATAGGAAAATGAGGTTTCCATCATAAGACTTTGTTTAACCCCCAACTTAGAGAGACTGAATTGATTTAACACGTACAGGGTTCAGTTGAGGGTGAAAAATACTGCATCACCTTACTAAGTTTAAATTCAGGTGTTTGCATTTCTGCCCATCTCATCTTACTGTTCACCTCTTTCTAGGATCTCAACCTCTTTAAGATTTACAAGTTACTGATCTTAATACCCTTTCAGTCCTCTCATTTCCCCAATTACCTCCCTATCCAGTTTAGAGTTTGTGGTTCATTACTTTAGTTACTTCTTTCAATGTACCTTCACTCACACTGGCCCTTACCCTCACTTGTTTTCACAGACTAAACTCCCTATCTACTTTAAATCCAACCATCAACATGCTGTGCTTCTGAGTGCAGCTGGAAAAGAACAGAAAATCATGCCTAAAGGTCACAGTTCATGATATTAACGACGAGTGAGATCTTCAAGTTTCCCAGCAATACTACCACATTTCCCTAGTCCATTTAATATCCCTGGAAGGAATAATTTACATCTTATCTTTTGTCCTCAAGCTCCACACTTTTTTGGGTTTCCTGATTATGGTGCTCCTATTTAATTGAGAAAATAGAAGCAATCATAAGAGTAGATCCCTCACATGCACGCCCACCTGTATGTACATTCATATATGCTACCTTGCTTTCACTGAATTGTCTGTGCCTCTATTAAAAGCCAACTCCTCCACTTGGGTGCATTGAATCTCATTCCACCCCATCTTGACTGCTCAAGGATGTCTTTCTAGAAAACTCCCTCTATTTCTCCTTCAGCACCAATTCATAACCATACAAAAAGTGATCTAACCTTTAAAAAAAGCTATCTAAACTTACCACTCCTCCCACTGATTTTCCTTTACAGCAAGACTTCTTGAAAAGAGCTGTCAATGGTCACTGTGTTCAATTCCTCTCCTGCCATTCTCCCTTGAGCCTATTGCAAGCAGTCTTGCTTATAATATTCCACAATAATGACTCTCTTCCAGGTGAACAACGACTAGGTCATTGCTAAATCTAAAGATCAGTTTTCATCTATGAGCAGCATTCAATATGGTTAACCATTCTTTGTTTTCCTTTAAACATTTTCCTCATGTGATTCCAGTACACTACCATCTCATGTTTTTATTCCTGTTTCACTAGCTACTCCTTATCACCCTTGCTAATTCTTCTTTGTCTTCTAAGCTTCTAAATGTTGGTATTGTGGGAAAAAAAAAAT